GTCTCCCAGAAAATGTGGCGCCCAAACACGTATGGTGGATGAAAAATGACAAATTTTTACTTTCCTTCCTCAATATTTGCTGTCACAAATGCGCACCTGCAATCTTGCAAAATACTGTACCTCCAAAGCAGCCACTTTTGTAGAAAGAGCCCGCTCCTCCAAGCAGATGTTCATATGAAGATTCCTTGATGCAAAACAACGATTGTAGCTCGAATTAATTTTTGTCCATCCTTAGAACAAAAATAGCGTTTTACCGCATTGGAAACATTCTAATTATCAGCTTTAATAAACCATGTGAATCGATTATATCTAGGCTGCGCATGCTACATACTAAAGATGCTTCCTCTTTGCAGGGAGAAAATTAATGCAACAATAATGTGAAATAACGGATGCGGCTCCCCTGTGATCCCAAAGCCCTTTACTATGTACCGTCTCATTTCTAGCTTCCATGAGATAAATAACAGCCGTAACTTTCTTGGTGAGGAAAATCTGTGTCACTTTTTAAATATCCAAGCAAGTTAACCATCTTTTCAAACCAAAGCCATCTTGCTGCATGGCATCTCTTCTTGCCTGAATAGGTGAAGAAAACCACCGGGGTCTGCACCATTGGCGTTGCAAAAACAAGTGATCCACTAATTCCTCCATTCCACACAAAGGTCAAAGGAAATAATCCGCAATATGATGGAATTTTATCACTTCTATTGGAATTGCCCAGCTTAAGAGTTTCCGAACACGAATCAGAAGTAGTTGAACTCGATAAGGAAGAAAATTTTTCCAGAAATCTTCCTTCAAGTGTGAGGTGGATCTTGTGCATCATTTCATTTTTCCAGCCAATTCCTTTCTTATTAAGCTTGACCAAATCAAACATCACATGAATTTCACATGGTGGCGAAGATAACATCGAATTTTAAATGGTGGTTGATGAGAAAATTATGTCTAAAACCAACTCGCCACTTAAGATATGACTCTATTATTAGGTCCTTTGGTATTAAAATTCCCTTCCACATTCCAGATAAACCTTGTCCGCCTTTGAATATTTTCTCATCCTTCTTGCATAAGAACTTCATTCCCTTCTACATTACTTATGAGAATACATATATAATATATTTATGTTCACTACACGCGCACACACACAAAGGGGAAGCTAACCCATTAACCCTTGATGCTCCTCAGTATCGCTCTATCTCGTGGTCGCCTTCTTCTCTTCTTCCTTCATCACCATCTGTGCGTCAGTCTCTCCTCCCTCGCGTTCGCGGTTTTTCCCTCAGTCTCTCCATGACTGCGTCTGGTCCTCTCTATGTTGATTTTCTTTACCTCCTTTTTTCTGTTGCTTCTTCCTCCATTAGTTGGTTGCTGTTGGTTTTCTTTTTTCCTTTGCTGTTGTTTTTCTCTGCACTTTGCCCTTTGGTTAGCCAAAAAACAACTGTATTAACCGACCGGTTTAATCTTGTTAGATTCTTCATTCCGGTTTTTTCATTTTCAGAATGAATGGAACCGAAACACCAAATGCTTACTCATCCACTGAATTTGTTGACTTGAGTTTATAGTATGGACGATGGAGAGGCTTTGATGATTACATGTTTATTAAGTGTGTTTTTTCTTTTTGCCCTGAAAGTTATCAAGATTTTTCAGATGACATGATTAATTAGATTTTTATTTTGTTATCCAGTCCATAACTTCGCATTGTTTTGGCTCTGGAAGGGGATGAGATGAAAGAGTGGAGAATAGGAAAAAGTTGAACTATATATATAAATCGTGAGGCTCCCCCTAAATGTCATAACTTGCGCCTAATTTATCACAAAAAGATGAGTGTAACGTGGAAATTTTCTACGGAAGTAAAACCTAGAAGATTTTCCGTCAAACTTACTTAACAATTATCAATAACCCTTTTCATAAGTTATGAGGATTGATGGCAGCAGAAATAACCTTTTTTTCCCACCCCGCTGTGTCCATTCCTCATTATTTCTTCCTTTGAATCCGGGCCTCCGTTCAAATCTTGTTGGCCAATTTGCATGCGTTTGTCTCGATTAGAAGAAAATATCACTTGCTTGTTTTTCTACTCGTCGTTCATATTCTCCATTATTAGATGCTTGTGGCTGAGAGGGAAGTGAATAAAGTCGAGGGAGAAAGGAGGAAGGAATGTCAGCCATGGTGGCGGTGGGAACAAGTCGAACTGGGGACTGGGGAATGAGCCTTAAAAACTTGGAAATAAGTAGGCCCTTGAAAAATGCTACTATCTTCAGTCCTTAATATTAGTTAATTAACCAAATCAATTACAAAAATTAGTTAAAATAATTATTTGTAATAAATATGTGTTGTCTTCTATAAAGTACCATTGCTAATATAATCATGGATATTACTTATAACTACTATTTAATGAAATTTTTAGCATATGTAACCAATGCAAAGACTATACCTTTAAAAAAAATAGATAAATATGAAAAATAAAATAAATTATAGTTTTATATTTAGAACAAATTAAATGACATACTAATTTTTATACTAAAAAACCGAAGTAGTACTAAATTAGGAAATATAATCTATGCAGTCGTACAGGTTCCCTGCACTAGGAAGTTGATCATGCTATAACGGGAATGCACCTTTTTACCTTAACTAATCGGGAACTTTCATTTGAAAAAAAACTATACAAATACAAGAGCCACTGTAACAGAAAAATTCTTTAAAGTATAATTAATTATAACGAGAAGACGTGCTAAAATAATCTCCGCAGGGGAAGTATCACCAGCAAAAAGGCCGCGATTCCTAACTTCCGAAAACATCCAACAAAGAATGCAAATCTCAGTCTTTTACGAATACTACTTCTTGTAAGTTAACTAATTTAAGTATATTAAAAAAATAGTAAAATTAGATATTTATAATAAATAAGTGTTATTTTTTCTAAATAATTCTTACAAATCAAGTGTATTAATTAAAACTACTATTACAGCAACAACTATCTTTAAAAAAAAGGTAAATATAAAAAACAAAGTAAATTGAAATCTTATATTTAGGATTAAAATAAAATTCAAATTAGCTTTTATATTAAAAACCATACCTAGTATTCAAATTTAAAGCTCGCAAGTTGTTACTTAACTGTATTCCAATATCATTCCCAATTTTTTTAAAAAAATATTTAAATAACTCAAATTCTTATTTAGGTTATTAAATTAGTCAAATTCCTAATCAGGTTATATGAATTAAAAAAGGACCAAAAGAAAAAAAATTTAAATTAACATGTTTCATTTTATATTTAACATTTTTAATTTTAAATAAACAATTTCCTGTTTTCATAACACGTTTGCGTAAATCTTTATATAAAACTTGATCACTATACAACCTTAAAAATAAATAAATTCAATTATGCAGTTAATACGTTTTAGTTCTAAATTAATAGATTTATGTCTCCGAAATATAGGTGCAATAAGTCTTTAAATAAAACTTGATCATAATACAACATTGACAATCAACATGTTTCATTTTACAGTTAACATGTTTGAATTCTAAATTCATAACTTTTTGTTTTCATAACATGTTTAGATTAGTCTTTGAATAAAATTTAGGAAATGTTTGGGTAGAAACAAAACCATGGGTTTAAAAGTACTTTTACAGTATACGAAGTAAATATATGGAGGTAGTGTCTCAATTTGCAGAAAAATGCTTTTGAGAAGTGTTTTTGGGGTTACCCAAACACCCACTTAATCACAATATAATCTCAAAAATTAACATGTTTCATTTCACAGTTAAACACGTTTCAATTCTAAATTGATAACTTCTTGTTAGGATCAAACTGTCAAGATCAAGGAAGGAAGATTTAATATAAAAACTAACTCAATGTTGCCTTCTTGATCAATTTTTCGACTTTGTAACAGTAGATGCGAAGTTTTCCTTGTTTAGAAATCTTACGCAATGCAGGAATTATAAAAAAATTTCATCTCTTTAAGTTTCTAATAAAAAGCTATTATAGTCATTTCATAAAATTAAAAAAAAAATGGTCATATTACCTGATTACAAATTTGACAAATTTAATGACCCAAATAATGATTTCAATTATTTAAGTGTCTTTTTAAAAGAATTAAAAAAAAAACTATACACATCCGGTATGGAACGATTTTCCTTTATAGTACTGATGAAGCTGACCAGCAATCCTTCCCAGGTCCCCAAAAAAAAAAAAAAAAGAAAAAAAAACCCAGCAATCCTTGGAAAAAATGATTAATATCTTCTATGCTCCTGCGACAAAGAGGGCGTCACCGGTCCGATATTTTTCCCTTTCCGCATCTTTATGCATTTGTGAGGAGTCTTCCCTTGAGAAAAAATACACCATTTTTCTTGTGCAACAAAGATTAGAATTAGTTAAAAACAATAAATATATACAAATTTTTTTTTAAATATGTCTTTATTTATAGAATTTGTACATAATAAATGATAAAAATTGAGAAAATTGTAATAATTTATTGAATGAGAAAAAATTTATGATAATTCCTATCATGTACTATCTCTAATCTTAAATATAAAAGCTAGTTGAGAATTTTATTTGATTCTAAATATGATATTTCAATCAATTTAATCTCCCAAATTTATAATTTGCTTTCTAAAGTATCTTATTGATTACACACCTCAAGAAGTTTCTAGAAAAATCAACTTAACTAATTTCCTTGATCTATTTAAATTAGTTAAGTAGCTCTTATATTAAAGAATAGAGATGATACAATATTGAATAGGAATAAAAATGAAAAGAGTACTTTAAAGTTATAATTAGTACTTAAACTTCTTTTTAACTGGAATTTTTATTCAAATGTTAAATGTATTATTTCCATTACCCATATTTTCTACAATGAAGTCTACGTGCTTATATTAAAAAAAGATAGGTTATATGTTTTTTATTTCACAAGATTATCAATAAATTAATAAAGAAATTAGCTCTTAAATATTAAATTGCATTTACTTAAAAAATACTAGAATGCATTTCTAGCATCTCTTATATCACATTCTTAATCGAGATGCTGCCCACCCTTATTTTGCACTTCTTAAAACCAGCAGCCGCAGATATTATCATACAGGTCTTTAATAAGAAAACCTCTATAAACATATTCCCATTAAATATTAACAGTTCATCAAATACACCAATCTTTTTTCTTAAAAGTTATTTTCGGAAGGTTAGAATCTTCTCTGCAATTAATAAATTTCTCAGGTTCGTCTTTTTTTTTTCTTTTTTCTTCTTAGTTGGGGCTTCCTCTTTTATGTATGACAAGTTATGGCTGGCTACCATCCGCCTACAAACACCATGCATGGACCATTATCGAATATGCACTTGATGCCCAAGATCGAGTAAATCTCTATCCACTGCTGCACAAATGAAAATTAGTTCGTTGATCAATTATAGTCTTAATTTCTCGATGCCAGTAAACCGAAGCGTAGGAGCATTTACCTTAATTTGGAGGCCCAAATCAAACTCAGAATCGAGCCACCGAATCCCAGAACTAATTAACTGGGAAAGCCCTCGGGAAATCTAAATATTTGTGCTCTCACACTTCCTCTGCAAATTTTCTATGTACAGGGTCAAACAGGAGAGAAGTTGTGTTTTTGCTGTCGGAATATGCCACTTGAGATTTAAATTCTTCCCTTAATTTCAGGTTCTAGTTTCAATCTTTTTGAATTCTGACCCCCTAGAGCGTTATCAGCTTCCCACCGGATTGACATATCATGCCGATAGGGACAGCTGGAACCATTTCGGCACCCCCTTGAGCTGTTAAAGTATATGCAAGTCTTCTGGATTTTGTACTCAACTTCTTCGGGTTTATTGTTATGTACCGATTTAATATTTTGGAAATTACTATGCCGGATGCCTATTTGTGAGTCCTGCACGTCTTGCTTATCTGAACCATGTTGCCTAATCAGGTTCTTTAAATAGTTGGCATCCTTAACAGAATGAGCTTCTTTGGCAGCAAATGCTGGACCTGCACTTGCTTGGTGAAGCATTGTGCCGGCAGTAGATCGCACCTGACATGTCACTGAATGTTGCAAGTTCCCACCAAGAGAAATTGTTGGCATGGAAGCCAACGATGCTGCATGCATCGCCCCAGTTACCAGTAAATCATCTTGTTGAGGAGGCTGGGTATCTAAAGTTTGCAGAACTCCATTTGACATATGGTGACAACTTTGGTTCACAGGCATCCGCATATCAAGTGTTGGAGCCTGCAATGGAACAGAGGGAATTGCAGGTTTACCGGGCATTGACATGGGAATTGATGGAATTGCCAGCTTATCAGGCATCGATGTTGACGATAAGACTGGTGGAATTTCAGGCTTCAACCGTGAAGATAACAAACCCACAGTGATTGCAGGTGTAACCCCGTAAGTTGGCTCACCAAGTGTGAGCGTCGACGGTGGAAGTGAAGGTGCGGCAAGCTTCAATCCAGAAGGGGGTATTGCCACGGTATTAGAGGATGTTCTTGCAGTTGTGGCAGCAGTTCTATGATCACTAACTAATTTCTCAATCATTAATGGGTCATTAAATATTTTAACGAGTAGATCCATATCAATCAAGCTTCGTTGCTCACTACTCTTCATAACGGCACCCACAACAGCAGAGGCAGCAACTAAATCTACTTCCGAACCAGAAGATATCCCAGGTGAGGGATTTCCGCAGACAGTTAAGGCAAGAGAAGAGGAGGTATTAGATTGAATTGGTGCCGTGATCGCTGACATATATTGATGCAAGTTTTGTGACTGCACAGTGGTAGGAGCGTCCCTACCTGCTGCCAATTCGGGTTTATCATACATTGACTCCTCTTCCTCAATGGGAATGATAGGAACCAGAGGAGTGGTGTTATCATCGTAATCTTCCTCTTCTACATCCAAAGCAACGGAAGGGCTACACCAAATAAATGGTAATAGCGTTAGTAAAAGAGAACAACGAAGTAACAAAAGGCTTTTCAGTTAGGCAACATCTTGCCTTGGAGGAATGGCTGAGTGACGAGGATAAACTGCTTCAAGCACCCTGAGATCTCTAAGTTTTTGATCTTCTTTCTCCCTACTCTCTTCACCAGCCACAACATGCCAATTATAACTGAAAACAAACTGGTTTGAAACATAAACAAATCAACAAAGTTGTCCAACGATATGCAACCAACCTACTAGGTAAAGAGCATAAACCGAAAAAGAGAGAGAGAGAGAGAGAGAGAAAAGAAAATTATGAAGTAGAGAGACATTACAAAAGGAAACACAAAAAGTGTACACTGAGGTTTTAATAAGGATCCACATCTTTTAACAAATGCCAAATATCTCATTACCGGAGGAGGACATCTCCAATTAATCTGAGGAATGCAAGAGTGTTCATACTTTGATTGGTTTGGAAGCGGATTGCATTCAAACCTGGGGGGTAAATCATTAAATTCAATAATACTTGAATGCAAAATTGATGACACCTTCGCTTGAAGACGATCTTGGGATTTTTGGCCAACTTTTGACGGGCAATCCTCAGATATGAACAATTTTACCTATCAAATAACTAGTATTAGGGCCAGAAAAGAGGAAATTATTATCACAAAAAGACTAAAATGAAGGTAAATTGCTAAATAAAGACGCAAGGACGAAATTATGTATTGAGAGGACACATATGATGAAATATAGAAGGTCCGGATAAATTCATACTTACAAACATCATGGTACAATAATACAAACATCAAGAAAATATACAAATAAATGGTAGGAGCCTTACTTATGAATGAAGAGTCTTGTAAGTTATATCATATCATTGGTGCAATTTAAGCAAATCAAATCACCAATTACTTGCAACAGGCAGTAGAGTATAGAGCCAATGTAAAAACATCTGCATTGACAAGCTTGACACGCCATATTTCATAACGAAGGAGAGAAAAACAATCAACTCATGTTGAAACACATTTTTCTATAAACGTAGGGGACTTTAAGAGAATGGGAAAATTCTGCCACATTGGTACAGCCTACATAGCGTGTGTTAATGCCACCCCAAAAATATTTCTGCCGTAATATAAAATGAAGAAGCAATAAAATGTTGCTTCTGAATTTAAGTGCTTTGGAAAGTACAGGCCACCCAAACACACATATAAGAAGCTTCACAATGCAAATTTGGTAATATAATCCAGAGACAAACATCACAAAACAAGCGGAAATCTGCAGCGTTAACCTTAAAACTAAAGTATTTTAATAAATCAATATGATACTAACTTGTATTGCTCTATAGATTAGTGTCAGTCACAAAAAGAAGTCATTGTGCTTGAAAATGAGATATGGAACTTTTCCAGGCTCAGCTTCAACAAATAGCTTCCATAATGAGATGACATACACAGCCAAATATCGGCTGATAGCACAGTGATGCAAACTGGTATCTGATGTTCTAATCTGTAGCATTAATAAAGTATTAGCAGCTCTAAGATAGAAAAATAGCTACGTTATGATCCAAAACATTATTATCTCATATACTAGGGTTCAACCAACTCAATAAGCAACAATAAGAACTTGTTTGCAAAATATTGGCAACTATTCAATAGATTAAAAATCACTTATTTTAAACATCTGCCAGAAAATGTTTTCTTGGCTCCTTACCTTTATCATGTCAGCCTTCTAGAGGTCAAACTTGCATTACATATAAGCATGTAACATCTACCTTGATCACGAGACCCAATCGAATTACACAAGTCTAAATTACCATTTTCACTGGTAAATAAACCAACTTCTTTTCCATAAAATTGATAGGCTAATAGCAAATAACTTTGCATAATCATTATATATCTATAACATATAGAAAGCTACACCAATCGTAAGTTCAGAACATTAAAACTCATCTCAAACTCCATAGAATGCATGAGACCCACATCTAATTACATACATAATTTTTTTTCCCATATATAAACAATGGAAACAACATTTACTTTTAAATTAAAATCAGCATACATCACAACAGTAATCAGATAGGGATAAAATGCTACATACGGGACATGATAGATCATCGTCTATGCTTAAATTTTATAAAGAAGATACAAAATAATCTGGCACGTCAATTAACTGGTGTCCCCAGTCATAAGTCGAGAGTCACGTAATTTTACGCATGCACAGTTTTATTAGCATATGATGGTTCTGCTTCATTTAGAGTCTTGTCGCCGGGAATCAAATCCCGTCAGACAACCAGGACACTAATTTTATGCACACTTTTTATTATCGTTATCTTTATTTTGGTCAAAAGACAGGCAAGTGGTGAAATATATAGTCAACCGGTGGAACACCCACATATTCTCTTAGATATCAATCCTGACACTAGCATTTCTTCGTAAGTTCATCATTTTTCTTTTTTCGGGTTTGTGACATATTAAATTCGTATGTGACAAATAAAGTGTCGCATTTTTCACCCATCTATGACCTCCCCACTTTTAAACTTTTAATACATCAACATATTACAAGAAAATTGTATAATAATTGATGATGACGACGACGATGGTGAGAAGTCTTCATTTTTTTGAATCATTTTAAGCATTATGAATACGATAGAAGTTGACACACTCTGAGTACATCACAAATTACACTGTCAAATGTAATCTCATTACACGGTCCTGAGTGTCTTAAATTTCTACATCTAATTCGCTATGTCCATTGATATAATCAATTGCTTCCAACCCCTCCCTGTTTTTTAATCCCTTTTAATGGCAACAATCCATGAAATGTTCGGTACGTATGCGATAAGTGATTTCGTGTTTTCATAAACACGGCTCGATTTGCAAATATCAAAAAAGACATTATGGTATCGTATAAATGTTGAAAAAAAACCTCCCATTAATTAAAAGGTAAGGAAACAAACTTTCACCTTCAAGTCTTCGAGCTGTAGCCCGTAAAAGTATTTTCAAGTCATTATTTTTTAATGGCATTAAGGGTCAATAGGTCTAGCTTATTAATGAGATGAGACGAGAAAGCACAACTGAGCTTATATTTTTTCAGGATGAATCAACCATTCGCTAGGTGTAAACAGAGGCATTAATTATCTAGTTAAAGCTCCTTAAGGATACAATATTGTTTTAACACTTGCAAATCCAAGTAATAAATTTAGTCTGCATTCAAATTTCACTTTAAGCCCCATTTCATTAACCAAATGTAATTTAAAGCAACAATAATTATTATTTAGATTGTGAACAGTTCAATGGAAATTTTCATCGAGCGCTTCCTCATGTTAAATTTTATCGTTTATTACCGGGCCAGTAACTCCCCCGTTTGACCGTTTCTTCCACAGCTGCCAGTACTTTAACGTCAGGGACAACCGTTAGAAATTTAGGGGAAAGGGAAGGGATGGTTTTAACGTGAAGGAAACAAAGAGCAGAGCGACTAAAAGTTCGAAAGAGATCGAATCACGCAGAACCCTGAAAGAGAAAGGCCACTGAGCGACCAAGCAATAAGAAATAAATTAACATGAAGGAAAGAAATGCAGATGAAAGAATGCTGCAGTTATACCTGACAGAGATTCCCGCCAGGAGCCCACGAAACCCTGTTGGACGATTTCCATGCCCGCTTCATGATATAAAGCCAAGGATTTCTGGTATGATAAAGGAAAGGGAGACAGAGGATCGAAAATCCTAAGCGAAGAATAATGGGAGGGGGAATCAGTGATTAGATCTTGAAATCTGAGGAATCACAGAGTAAATAGAGCAGTTGATTATGCTAGAGGACCGTTACGGCTCAGGGGAGAAGAGTGATAAGTGCGGGGGTACCAGAAGAAGCCCTAGAGGGCAGAGGAATGAGTGAAAGGGGGTGGGGTTAGAATATATAGTGGGGACCGCGGGGCACTGGGGATGACTAGTAAATAGTAATGGGTGCGCAGATAGGGGAATCTGCGGCTGCTCGAGGACGTGACGGAGTGACAACTCATAAAGCAACAATCGCCATGGGGGTTTTGGTTACCGCGTCCTTGATTGAATTTTTTTTTTTGCCAGCCTTTTATTTAAGTAATTAGTTCTTACACCTTACACAGAGACAAAATCATACTACTATATTTCTAAATATATTTAATTAAATGTTTTTCTTTTCCTTTTTTTTTTTGGCCAAAATGTTTTTCTTTTCCTGAGTTCCTCTCTTTTCACTCTAAATCAGGTTTTTGCAGCAATACCATGTACATAATACATGACGTCTCATAATTACTAACAATTACAATAATTCCATTTTATACATTAAATAATATATTTTTTTGAATAAATAAATAATACTACCTCCATTTCTTATTATAAGAGTTTTTTTACTTTTAATTTGGTGCTAAATATAAGACTCCAATCCATTTTATCTTTCATATTTATTTATTTTTTAAAGTAACCCTTGTCGTAGTTGCACATATTAAAGGTTTTATCAAATGATAATTCTAGCTAATATATATTATTAGTAAGGGTATTCTAAGAAAGACAACATTTAATTATAGCAAATAACTAGGTCTTATATTAAGGACAGGAGGTGATATATCAACATGTATAAGATTGTAATCAACCCTTATTTTACCCCTTTGATTGTAAATCATCATGAAAGTCTCGCATTTATATCATTATATTCTGATTGCCTTCAACGTATTCTTTTTGTGAGGACATAGAAGCTTTTTTTTTTTAATCACCATTACCACTACAAAAAGAGTTGTATTTTGGTAAGTGTGTGCGCGCGTGTATATATGAGAGTTGTATTTTGAAATGGTTTATTTGCATTACAAAGGTTTATTCTAGTAGTTGGTATGGACAAAATCAATATTAGTTTGCAATGCCTTGACTATTGCCATATATGGCAAACACTACTAAAAAATATACTTATAGTATCGGTTAATTGATAAACCAACATTAAAAAAAGATAGTGGTATTTTTGTAATATTTGAAAGACTTTTGATGTTGTTTATCTGAACAACCGAAGCTGTAAGTCTTAACAAGACAAGAACTAGTGAAAAATGTTAACAGTGTCATTGTTTCCAGTTACAATATCAGTTTATATAATAACTAACGTCAAAGTCCAGTTAGTTTAAATTTTTACCTAGCCACGTCATGTTTTCATAGTTTTACTTTTCATTTTCAGAAAGCCCAAAAAAAAAGAAAAAGATCTGTGGTTGGCCTTCTCAAGAAGCTCACTGAACAGCAAGCTAGCACTCCCAAACTATCTGAGAAAATCAATCACAAAAAATATGATATGAAATTCTTCTCTGTATTATTTATGAAAATATATGGCAGCCAGTACAGAGAATCACAAACATGAAAGGAAAAATCAGCAAAAGAGTCACAGCTGACTTTTTTTTTTTTTTTTGAATGCAGTACTGTAACCAATTAAAACAAGAAGACAACAAAGAACAAAGGTCTAGTTTCCTTCATCAACTGACTTTCACACGGTACTAATCATAAGCAAATGAAGACACAGTACGAAGGGAAATATCAGAAAGCAAAGAAGAAGAAGAAATTCAGGGAGGTCAGAGAACAATCGGGGAGAGAAAATTCAATATTCCAACTTCTCCTTTCTGCCCTGCCATAGCCGAATTTATTCTTCCTTTGCCTGTATTTTCCTGGTCCTGCGGAATCTCCTTCTACTCCGTGCCTGCACAGAAGGCTCTCCTACATTCTGGGTTGGATTCACAGCATCTTGGGCTGAACCATCAACATTGCTCGGCCCATTCATGACACAAACCCGCAACGGAATTCTCATCAAGCACCCATTTCAAGTCAAAACGAACACATGAACATTGAATATTGGTTCTCCAACACACTAATCAAATAAGCAAAAATGTTGTTTAAACATACAGAATCCTTAAGCACAGATGTGTAACGAGTGCAAAAGCAGAGAAGATGGGACTTGGAAATCGACTCCCTCATTGCTGACCTGCTTTACTCAACGGCGATTTGCACTCAATTTAGCTGTTCCTCTGTTTCTAATCCACCTCGTGGCTCAGTGAAACGGGGAAGATGTGATTCTCTTCTTCAATGTCGCTAACTTTCTCATACACCTTGTCAAAATCAATCCAGCTGTCAGCTACCTTGCTGTGTTTTTTAAATGGTAGTCACCAATTTGTTCGTCCCGGGCCAAACTCTCCAAAGTTGAAGGAGTAACACATGTAACAGAAAAAATATGAAGGACTTGATTAAAAAAATCCAAGAACCTGATTAAAAAGTAGGTAAAACTACAAGGACTCAAATTAATTTTTCCTTGTTTGGGTAGGGAATGCAGATTGATCAAGTCACGCCTTTATCAAATCCCATAATTCAAAGCTTCAAATAAAGAACTCAATCCTCAACAAAACACGTACAAAGAAGGGAATGTGAAGCTAATGGAACTTACACTCATGAAAATAACTGGAAGCGTCAATTTTCATATGTAGCTCCTGATGAGCATATTTGGTTTGTTTGTTTGTTTGTTTTTTGGTTGTGGAACGACACAATGAACATGTTCTATACTCAATGGGAAGGATCAAGCAAAACTACGTAATGTTTCATTGCTTCACTGTGACGCTGAATATCCTGAATCATTCAACAGAATAATACACACATTTTATGAGCTATTGACAAAAGATTCATTCAAGAGGCCGCCTTATTTGCATGGAGTCATAACAGAAGCACTTAGACTGTACTCAAAATATAGGATCTAATTTACAATGTAATTTACGTTATAAAGTAGATCTTATATTTAGGACTGGAGATAGTATATTATAAAAGTGTAAAACTTCCTTGTAAACATGCATTAGTTATTTGCGGACTGGTTGAGGGCAATGATGCATGGATGATTGGAGCATCACCTAATAACAAAGTCTATACTTCCATTTGCAAATTGAATAGGGGGAACTGGCTTGCAAGCCCTTGGAGGTGCCTAAAATGGATGATTTTGGTCATTATTTTCCTACTTGGCGTTGTTGAAAGTCCATAATATTTTTTTCTCCGAAAATGTAAATAGAGATTACTGTATATCAGGCTTTTGTCTCACATTGGAATGGTAAAAAATAGTCGTGTGTACTATATCCAAGAAAGGTAGATGTTTGGAAGTAAGCCTTAGACAAAGTGTTTGCTTATTCTTGGTAGGTTGCCCCCCTTAGGTGAACTTTTTCCTTTTTGGATTTGTAGCAGCTGGTATGTTGTTATATTTCGATCCCTCTCCCTTGCTCGCGATAATTGTTATGGTTTCTTGATTTTTTGAGCTATGAGCTCATATTTTTTTCATGGCATTATATACACTACAAAAAAATTGATTTTCATAAAAGTCACTGTTGAAAGTTTTTAGCGGCGACAAGTCGCCACAAAAAAGTCATTGTCTTAGCAACTATGGTTGAAAACTTTTAGCGAAAACAAAAAAAGTCACCACTGAAAGACACTTTCAGTGGCGACTTTTAGAAGTTTCAGCAGTGACATTTGTTGCCACTAAAAACTACTTCTAGTGGTGATCTTATTGTCACTGCTGAAAGAACTTGTGGCGGTGACAGTTTGTCGCCACCAAAAATGACTTTCAGCGGTGACTTTTTTTTTGCTACTAAAAGTGATGTTTAAGAAAAATTGATTTCAATGACGTCATGTCATCACTGCCAATGCCACGTCATCATTGGCCACCTCCACCTCATCACTACCGGTTGCCACATCATCACCGACCAAACATCACGTCATCACTAGCCACCTCCACGTCATTGCCACATCACCACTCTATGCCACGTCACCCTTCCCTGCCATGTCACCGCCTAAATATTTTCACCTTAAATGTATCTTCTTTAAGGTTTGAACTTGTGACCACTTCCTTTCGTGTCCAACCTCCTTGCCATTAAGTTAGATTGTTTATTATTATTGTAAAATAAAATATATATTATTATATTATACTTTTAGCGGTAACATTAGAAAGTTGCTGCTGAAAGTTGGACCTTCAGCACTGACACTAATAGTCGCTGCCGAAAGTCCACTTTCAGGAGCAACTTTTTTTATTGCCACCAAAAGTCGTCGCCAAAAATCTTTTTTTTTTTTGTAGTGATATTAGGATGTCAACAATGTAATTTATTCTGTTAGTAATTATCTATATTAGCTGTTCTTTACTTTTAGTTTGTATAACAAGGCACTCATATTTTGAAGATGAGGAATGCTTCTATTATCTTCATTCATTGAGTTTTTAAACCATTCAGAATGAAAAGAGTGTTAGAGTAAAAGCCCAGCCCACTGAAGACAAATCTCAGCCCAACACTTTATCTTTCTAGTCTCAGTCTGCACTTGCTATACACGTGACACACTCACACATTTGCCTATATAAACGGCACTGTAGCTCTTCTTGAAATGTGAAAAAGATGATTATCCATTTTGTCTTATCCTAGCTTGGGTCTCTGTTTTCTTTTATGGTACCAGAGCCTTCACGCTTCCCCATTTGTTGCAGGTCTTGATTTTCAAAAATGGCTTCCTCCACGCCATCTTCCACCTCGTCAACTTCGGCCACTTCTTCCATCTCTACTACCAGTTCTGCCTCTACTTTTGTTCCGCCTCATTTATCCCCCATCTCATCATCTCCATCTCATTTTATTTCCATCAAACTCACAAATGATAACTATAGTATTTGGAAAGCCCAGATGGTTCCATATCTCCATGGCCAACAACTTTATTCTCATCTTGATAGCACCTCTCGTCCTCCTCCTATGCTTCTTGACAATGGTGTTACCAATCCTGCATATATCTCATGGTTTCAAAAAGATCAATATATTCTCTCTGTTTTAATCTCTTCTCTGTCTGAACCTTTAATGGGTCAATTCATCAAGAACAAGACAGCGCGGTCCATTTGGGAGGCTCTTGAACGATCCTTTGCTCAAAAATCACAGGCTCGATTTCTTCATCTCCATAGTCAACTTACCCAGCTCAAAAAGGGGTCTGAATCTGTCTCCGAATATTACAAACGTGCCACACTACTTGCTGAATCACTAAGTATTGCAGGACGCCCAATAGATGATCTTGATTTCATTTTGTATTTACTGAATGGTTTGGGCTCAAATTTTGAATCCATTGTTGCTTCTCTGACCATGAAAACCAATGAACTTTCTCCTGAAGAAGTTTTAAGCTATCTTCTCATTCATGAAGCAAGGCTCAATACTTTATTTGCCCCCTCAGTTACAGACATCTCTGCAAATGCTGTTACTAGGCAACCTTTTTTTCGCACTAGAGGACGTGGTGGTCGCTTTAACTCACGCGGGCGAGGACGCTTTGGACGCGGTAGAGGGAGACTTTCTACTTTTTCTTTTCCTGGACCACACAACTCCTTTTCAGGCCCACACAACTTTTCAACCTCTTCTAGCACATATTGTCCTCTCTGCACTCGTTCTGGCCATGCCATTCAGAACTGCCCCCACCGCTATGATCATGCCTACCAAGCACCTCCGCCACCCTCCTTGGCAGCAGCCCACAATACCTCTATCTACAGCATACCAGACAACAACTGGTATTTTGATACTGGGGCCACCCATCACATGACCTCCAATTTGGCTAATCTTAATCTGGGTTCAGAACCTTACAGAGGCCTCGACCAAGTCAGTATGAGTGATGGCTCAACCACTTCTATTGCTAACACTGGAGCTGGATTGCTTCCTCTTCCTTCTCCCTCTTCTAACATCCATGGCATTTACCTTCTCTCTGACCTCTTACATATCCCATCAATTTCCAAAAACTTAATTTCAGTTTCTAAATTTTGTTTAGATAATTATGTTTACTTTGAGTTTTACTCTTCTCATTTTGTTTTGAAGGACCTCATCACCAAGCAAACTCTTCTTCAAGGACCAACTAAGCATCTTCTTTACCCATCAAGTCCTCAGGCGTGTCTTGGAATCAAAACATCACCAGACCAGTGGCATGCTCGCCTTGGGCACCCAGCACGAAGATTAGTTCAGCATGTTATAACCAAATACTCCCTTCCCACACTTAGTTCTTCTATTTCTTCTTCTTGCCCGGCTTGTAGAACCTCCAAGAGTCATGTTTTACCACACTCTCCCTCTACCCACCGATCTCCTTTTCCTCTTTTTCTTGTTTTTAGTGATGTTTGGGGTCCAGCCCCTATTTTATCTTGTTCTGGTTATCGATATTATGTATCGTTTGTTGATGATTTCACTCGATTTACATGGTTTTACCCTCTTCGTGCAAAGTCTGATGTCTCTAAAGCCTTTGTTTTATTTCAAAAACATGTTGAAAACTTATTTAATGCTAAAATAAAATTTCTACAGTTTGATAATGGAGGTGAATACCAAGCATTAAGTCATATTCTAAAATCTCAAGGCATTGGTCATCGCCTGACCTGTCCATATTCTCATGCTCAAAATGGGACTGTAGAACGAAAACACAGACACATTGTTGAAACAGGATTAGCACTTCTTCATCATGCTTCTTTACCTCTAAAATTTTGGACTCATGCTTTTGCCACTGCTGTTTATCTCATCAACCGTCTTCCTTCTGTCTCTCTCAACTACAAGTCTCCATATCAACTCCTTTTTCATTATAATCCTGATTATAATTTCTTAAAAGTTTTTGGTTGTGCATGCTGGCCTAATCTTCGTCCCTATGCTCCAAATAAATTAAAGCCAAGGTCTACTCTCTGCATTTTTATTGGATATGCAACTGATCATCATGGTTATCTTTGTTTTGATCCCAAGACACGACGCATATACATCTCTCGTGATGTAATTTTTGATGAAAACAAATTTCCTGCAGCACAATCCACTACTATTGCCTCACCCACGTCCTACTCTCCCACTTTCACCTTTTTTGCCCAACATTTATATCTCACAGCCTAACCCCAACCCTATTCAATTTTCTCATAATAATAACAATAATAATAATACTCCTCAGTCCTCATCTCTTAACCTGCCCGACCCTCATACTTCTCTCCATTCACCCATGTCTTCTGCCTCTTCTTCGCCTGACAGCTCTCCTGCCTCTCTCTCTCCTCCTTCATCTCCTTCTCCACCACCTCGTATGCTTACCAGGACACAAACTCACAGCCTACGCCCCAAACAGTTCACGGATGGTACGATTCCCTGGCCACCACCCAAATCTCACCACACAACTCTTCTCCCGATTTGCCACACCAATCTCTCCACTCCTGATGTCCCCACTACAGTCACTTCTGCTCTTCGTATACCCGAATGGCGTATTGCCATGGAAAGTGAGCTTCAAGCCCTTCTCTCCACTCAAACTTGGTCTCTTGTTCCTCCACCACCACACAAAAATATAGTCGGTTGCAAATGGGTCTTTCGTAACAAATTTCACTCTGATGGGTCTCTTGAAAAGCACAAAGCTCGTCTTGTAGCCAAAGGATTCCACCAATCACCTGGAATTGATTACACTGATACTTTCTCCCCAGTTATTAAGCCTGTGACAATTAGACTCTTGCTATCTTTGGCAGTCTCAAAGGGATGGACAATGAGGCAAATAGATGTGCAAAATGCTTTCCTTCATGGCATGCTAACTGAAGATGTCTACATGAGCCAACCACCCGGATTCAAGCACCCTCTATTTCCCAATCATGTGTGCAAGCTTAACAAATCTATTTATGGTCTCAAACAAGCTCCTCGCGCGTGGTTCTCCAAATTAAGCACTTGCCTCACTCAACTTGGGTTTGTTCCCTCTAAATCTGATACTTCTTTATTTTCCAGGATTTCTGTGTCATCCGCTCTTTATATTTTGGTATATGTTGATGACATACTACTCATTGGGTCTGATTCTACTGAGATATCTAATTTAATTGCTGCTTTGAGTCATCAATTTCCTGTCAAAGATCTTGGATCTTTGAGCTTCTTTCTTGGAATTGAGGCACAAACCACTCGTGAAGGGCTATTCTTATCCCAGAGGAAATACATTGTTGATTTGTTAAGTAAAACAAAGATGTTAAATTGTAAACCTGTTCGAACACCTATGGCTGCCTCAACTAAACTTTCTGCTGTTGATGGCTCTTCTTTTCCTGATATCACTTTGTTTAGGAGTACTGTTGGTAGTCTTCAATACTTGTCATTCACAAGACCAGACTTGTCTTTTGCTGTCAACAAAGTTTGCCAGTTCTTACATGCTCCTAAAGATAGTCATTGGAAAGCTGTGAAGAGAATATTGAGATATTTACGCCATACTCTGGACTTTGGCATTCTCATTAGAAAATCAAATTCTCCCTCTTTAATTGCCTTTGCTGATGCTGATTGGGCTGGTTGTCCAGATGACAGACGCTCAACCGGTGGTTTTTGCATCTTCTTTGGTTCAAATCTTGTGTCTTGGAGCTCCAAAAAGCAGCAAACTGTGGCTAGATCTTCCACTGAAGCGGAATATAGGTCCTTGGCTTTAGCTACTTGTGATTTGATTTGGATTCAAACTTTACTCAAAGAATTGGGTATCCCTCTATACACATGTCCAACTCTATGCTGTGACAACATTGGAGCCACTTATTTAGCAGCAAATCCAGTTATGCATGCAAGAACAAAACATATTGAACTGGATTACCATTTTGTTAGAGAAAGAGTAGCTGCCAAAAACTTGCACATCACCTTTCTCTCATCAAAAGATCAATTAGCTGATATTTTTACCAAACCTTTGGATGGCTTTCGTTTTGAGTCTCTCAGATCAAGCCTCACTGTTCACTCACTCCCGTTCAGCTTGAGGGAGGCTGTTAGAGTAAAAGCCCAGCCCACTGAAGACAAATCTCAGCCCAACACTTTATCTTTCTAGTCTCAGTCTGCACTTGCTATACACGTGACACACTCACACATTTGCCTATATAAACGGCACTGTAGCTCTTCTTGAAATGTGAAAAAGATGATTATCCATTTTGTCTTATCCTAGCTTGGGTCTCTGTTTTCTTTTAAAGAGTCATGCATTATCAATAAAATTAATGAACTCCTTGTGCCCTTGTGTAGTTTCTGTTATATCGTTTGTGATTCTATTCATATATACATTCTGCTTCAAGTCTTTTGCTGCAAATAAAAGCAACGGGCAGGTTGAGACAGGAAAGAATAAGAATTTTAGCTCGAGCTTGCTGGCATGCCTCATACAAACATGAGGTAAAAAATGAATAAACCAAAGAAAAATCAAGTATAATCCAATTTCAGGACGATTACTTCACATTGTTCAGTTCTTTCTATTGTATGTTGGCTTATTTTCAATCAAGAAATCATGTGGTAAACAAGGCAGATTTATTTTTATATTTTTCTCCTCACAAAAAGTGTTTTCGGTGATAACACAAAAATCATATCATGTACTTGTCAATACAACATGCAGTTTCATGTCCTCTGAATTTCACTTATCTGGTCAAAGTTTCGGTGAATGCGGTACCTAGAAATTTTATATTATTGAAAGAGATTGAGAGAGTTGAAAAGGGGATTGCCGATGGGACTGTAAGCTATGAGATGGATAGTGCTGATGATATACACATGGAGAGTTTTATGTTTTTATTTAAGTAAAAGGTTAAGGTATAATTTTAACAATAAAATTTACCTCAAGGAGTATTAGGTTATTAGGCACCATACAATTTACTTGGGTACAAAAATATACATGAAGTTGTCAAGAAGGCATCTGACACCTTCTCGTTAACATCTATTAATTTACAATTAGTGAGACCCAAGAAATAAGTTCTAAGATGCATTTTTAGTAACAAAATTTATATTAAAGGACATTGGACACTACAAAATTTACTTAGATGCAAAAATGTATGTGAACTTTTTAAAAGGGAGAAAAAAATTTATCAAATCCCATAAACTCTATTAACTTTAATCTTTTGGATCTCATCAAATGTCATATTTTTTCTCCATCCATTCCCACTTTCAAGTTCATCTATCCTTCTCTCGTCATAGTCAACATACACATTCTCTCTGTTATATCGTTTTCTCAACCTCTGAGCCTTTTATGTGAATTTACCCAAGACGATGTCTTTTCCTTATGAGATACGAGGTTCATTGCTTCCATCCAAGTACTACCTTTGATTGTTAATATCATCAGACGCAGTTAACTAACTTGAAACTTGAAAAGATTAAATAAATTATCTTAAAGTATTATATTTATCATTTTTTTTAAAATTAATTTGCTTAGTTTATAAACTAGTATATAATCTAATGATACGTATAAATATTTTAGAAAAATCATATAATATATGTTATACCTAAGTAATTATTTTATTTTTTTAATTTTCTCAAATTAGTCCATTATACTAAGTGGAGTGAAAACATAATATTTAGTAGGACCTAAAAAATAAAATTAATGAAATTTTATGGAAGTTTATGGACTTTGTTATTTTTTTTTAGAAAATTCATATATATTTTTACATCCAATTAAACTTTATAATGTCCACTACTCTTTGGTGTAAACTTCATTGCCAAAAATTTATCTTAAAACTGACTTCGTGGCCCCCAATAACAGTAAAGTAACAATATTAATAGTGTGATGCAAGATGCCTCTTTTGATAACTTCATGTATATTTTTGCATCCAAATAAATTTTATGATATCCAATGCTATTTGAAGTAAAATTTACTGTTAAAATTGTAACTTATAAGTAAATTAGGATGTTGTTAATTTTATGATTTTACAGTTTATTGTAAATGCTGTTGTCATTGTTATAAAGTTTAGCTTTCGGAGTGGTAGTTTAGACCAGTTATGAACTTGACTATTATTGCCATATTGAATTGCTATAGTTTCTGGCAATAATTTAATTCAAAAGATTTTAAAATATATATATATATACTTTTGCATGTCCATTTTTGGAACAAATATACTTATTAAGTCATTTGTGTTTATATTCCCAAAAAGGACATAAAAAGACTTCTAAAATAAACATAAAAAATATTTTTTATAGTAGAGTATTGACAATATTTATTGAGACGAAATAAGAATTTTTTTTTGAAAACATTTGTTTGATAATTATAAAGCTGTTTAGAATAATTTATAAATAATAACTTAATAACTTATAAGTAGTTTTTTTTTTTTTTGAGCAAAACTTATAAGTAGTTTATAATTAGTTTTTTCTATTGTGTTTTGAATTTGATTTTAAATTGTGTCTGTAAATTTAACGGTCCTAGGGAATCGAGTTGATGTGATAGAAAGTTCCAGAGGTGGCTTTACTAGTGGCCGTTGTGGGGGTATTCATAGTAGAGATTAGGAACCCGAGCCCAACTTGAATGGATGACATTGCTAGGTGGCGAAGGTGTAGCCAAATCACAGGACGAGGATGAAGAATATTGGAGGGGGAGGTGCAACGGCGGATCACCTGGGAATAGTGAAATCGAGGGTTGACAGGGACGTTGGCAAGGGTACAATGTGAGGGGAACAGTGCGAGATTAGAATATGTATGAATAAAAATCAAGTAATATTTCCAAAAATAATTTTATAATATACAAATTATGATATATATATATATATATATATATATATATATATATGAGATGCCTTCGTCATTTGTTGGTTTTGGAGACAAAGGAAGGCAAGAATCGAGATCAAAGAGACGCAAGGCTAATTTGAGGAACACGTTACAGTTGGACAATAAAGTATTGATGTTTGGTTTAGTTAATAACTGTATCACTTTTGTCCTATTTAAAAAAATTGATCCTTGAAATTAAAAAAACGTGAAAAATGACCAAAAAAAAGATTGAAATTTTAATATTCTAATTCAGGCATTTAAGAATTTAAAATCTCAAAAGAAAAAGTAATATTTGATTTGATATTTTACAAATATAATCAAATAACTAAAATACCTTTGTATCATATTTTTTTTTAAAAAAAAGCTATCAAATTTACAATTGTTAGCATATTTTTGTTATTAGCTATTCACCACTTATTATTGTCAGTTCATAAATTATTATTAAATAACTTGTTATTGCCAGTATTATTAGATTTAAGTGTTTTGATGATAAAAAATTAAGTTTCTAAGTATATTTGAATATCTGTTAAAATTGTCGATCAAATGTTCAATTATCAGTTAATCGAACATGTGCCAAATAACTGTCACGATACTCTGTATTCATTTACTGTTATAGTTAATCAATAATGTGATAGATAATTCAAGTTTTATGTGTTGATCAATCATATGATCAATCATTGATAACACTGGTTGGTGTAAGATGTCGCAACAAATGATCGATCATTTAATCGATAATTTATTGTTCGATGAACTGTCAGGAAAAAGCTATAAAACCTCTATAAATATAACACAACTTTAATCAATCACCTGATCGATCAAGTGTTAATCGATGAGGACTCAAATAACTGGTAAAGTTTTCCTAACTTATTTATTATATTGAATAGTTCTTTTATTGTCAGTCACTTTATTGATCATTGTTTTATCGATAATCTATTCGAACATTATGTATTAAAACATTTCTGGATAATCGATAATATGTTCTATCAAGGTACTCTGTGTTAGTTTTGCAAAATAAGGTTTTTCACAGTCCATGATTGATCAATTGATCGATCACCCTTTTATCAATAACATGACCGATCATCATGGTCTCTACTTCATCTTTTCATATCACATGATCGATCAAAGTCCTTCTCTGACTTTTTCTAAAAACAACTTTTAACAATCACTTATCGATCACTTGATCGATTAATTATTAATCAATCATTTAATTGATTATCATCTATTTTGTGCACTTCATTGTGAAAATTTTCTTTGAAACCAATTTTCGATCACTTTTTCGATCAACCCTTTATCGAAGAAGTGGTCGATCATCATTTTTGAAAATGGATTTCACTTATATTTAGCTTAATCGATGAGATGATCAGTCAATCACTTTTTCGATTACCTGTTTGATCAATACATCATTTCATCACTTAAAGAATTCTTCAAGAGGTTTTTCATAAAACCTATTTTCATTTTATCTTCAAACTTTTCTCAGACTTCCTCTATCACATAATTCTCTGTTGAAAACGATACAAAGGCTATAAACTTGAAAGAACTAAGCTATACACAAAACTTCAAATTTACTTCACTGACAAAGATCATTGCGTTTATATTTCATCGTTTATCGATCATTTGTTTGATTATTATATGATCCATAATCTACTTGATAAATGTATATATTTGCTATATCTTTTCTTCCTATGATTAATCGATCAAGTAAGTTCAGTTTACTTTCTAAGTTTTTGGTGATTGATTTTGTGTTCTTCAACTGTTACATCAATGTTAAGATTCATCACCTTGTGTAGCACTCATTAATCGATCAGATTGTTTGGAGACAAAGGAAGGCAAGAATCGAGGTCAAAGAGACATGAGGCTAATTTGAGGAACACGTTACAGTTGGACAATAAAATATTGATGTTTGGTTTAGTTAAATAACTGTATCACCTTTGTCCTATTTAAAAAAAAAAAGTGATCATTGCAATTAAAAAAAATTGAAAAAATGACATAAAAAAAAAGATAGAAATTTTAATATTCCAATTTAAACACCTAGGAATTTAAAATCTCCAAAGAGGAAGTAATATTTGATTTGGTATTTTACAAATATAATCAAATAACTAAAATATACTTGTATCATATTTTTAAAAAAGCTATCAAATTTACAATTGTCAGCACATTTTTTTGTCATTAGTTACTTCTCATTGTTAGTTCATAACTTATTATTAAATAACTGGTTATTATCAGTATATTTTTTGTCATTTACTATTCAATACTTGTCATTGTCAATTT